CAACACAGAGAGTCGGTCAACACACAATGAACGCATAGCCCGGTCGATTACGTATTTCAAAGATTGCTAAGTTAGAATTTAAGTGTGAAAATTCCAAAGAGAGGACACAGGCAGAGAGAGAAAACAAAAAACCCAGAGAGAGAGAAAAAAGATATCTTTGCGAAGAGGTCACGACGCTGGTGCCGCGTGGTTCGCTACGCAGTAGCACTGTCTTAACGCATTCCACATTTGTTTTGTCTCGTGCGCACGGCGGTGCCTGTGCGTACACAGGAAGACGGCTGTCTAAGGAGTTTACAAAGGACGCAGCATGGAGGGCAACGGTAGCGAAACCCTCGGTAGAAATTGGGACGGCACTTTCCCCACACTCCCCCCCGCCTTCGACATAAAGAGCATCTTGGGCAGTCTTTACGAGAGTGAGGGGAAGCCGGAACAAGGTCACCGTCAATCTAGGCAGGGCCAGGGGCCGTCACACCGTGGCCAGAGTCAGCCGGGCAAAGGTCGGGGACAAGTGAGGCCGTTCCAGGAGATATTGGCTCACGGGTGCAGCCAGACGGGACAAGATGAAGGTCAGTCTGGGCAAATCCAGGGGCCATCGATTGAAGGTTTGGGTAGCAAAGGGCAGCAGGGTCAGCCGGGAGAAGCCAACGGAGAGGCAATTAAAGGACATGAGCAGCCGGGGCAGGGGACAGATCGCGACGGAACAAAAACAACCCAATTGGGCCGAGCTCAGACTCGGCCAAAAGAGGGTCAACGTCAACCCGGCCGAGCCCGGGACTGTCAGGTGACGTGCATGTTCTGGGGGGCAAGGCGCGAGGTCTACCTCGTCAGGGCCTGAGTCAGCCAAGGCAATCTCGCTGTCCGCCGGGCGAAGTCGAGCAGCAGTTAGGTCACACTTTGGGTCGACACGGACAAGGTCAAGTGGGTCGTGGATGGGATCAACGCGGACATGGCAGCGGTGAAACTGGGCAGGTGCAGCAAGGTCAAGCTCAGAGGACACTATTTGAAGGTGAGTCAACTGGGGCATGGTCAAGTGACGCTGGCAAGGTCAAGGTTTTCGTTTCATCTGGAGGTCATCGCCGTGTGTCGCCTGGTCTTGTCTGTAAACGAATCGCGCCGCTAATTTTTCTTCTCGAAACGAGATCCCGCTTCTTTGATGTCCACATTCATCGTGAGCACGAAGTCTGCGGCGCTTTTCAACCGGCGTTTGACGTCAGAAAGTACGGGACGGTGCTTTGTTTAGCTATTGACGGTAATGATGGTAGCACTTGCCCCGATGCACGCGCGGACAATCCACGGTTGGAAACGTGCGTTGAAGAGTAATTTGGCTGATGTGAATTGGCACGTGATGGACCACTTTGTTGAGCTGTCAACAAAGTGTGGCCAGGTGGCTTCTGAGAAAGAGCTATGTAGACGCGTGGGCTCTCACGTGGTAAAATAAAGAGTTCATCTTCTTGGTTCTTTTGGTAAAGTCACGTAGAAGGGAAATAATAAAATAATAAAAAATACAACATAACATCATTATTTTATTATGTTTTTTTTTTATTATTTAGTCGAAGGGAAATAATAAAATAATACTATTTAAACATAATAACAATTGTTTTATTATGTTTTTTTTTATTATTTAGTAGAAGGGAGATAATAAAATAATAAAAATAACATCGTTTTTTTATTATGTTTTATTATTTAGTAGAAGGAAAATAATAAAATAATACTATTTAAACATAATAACAATTATTTTATTATGTTTTATTTTTATTATTTTGTCGAAGGGAAATAATAAAATTAAAAAAATAACATCATTGTTTTATTATGTTTTTTTTTATTATTTGGTAGAAGGGAATAATAAAATAATACATTTTAAACATAATACCAATTATTTTATTATGTTTTATTTTTATTATTTAGTAGAAGGGAAATAATAAAATAATAAAAATAAAACATAGCATTATTTTATTATGTTTTATTTCCCTTCTACGTGACTTTACCGAAAGAACCAAGAAGATGAATCCCTGCAGTCACGAAAGCTTTAAATCGAAATAAAAAGTTTAGTTTCGTTTCGTTGGTGGCTTCCTTTAACACTGGCTTTTGTCTCCCAAGTTTTGGAAAAAAAATTGGGTCAGTTCGCTGATGTTCTACGGGGCAAGTCCCTTATATCAAAACGCACTTTTATTGAAGATTTATTCATGTTCGTGATACTCATCTTACACCCCGGCGGAGCTGAGCCCTTAACAGTTGGAAAGTTCTAAAAAGCAATATGTGTAAACGTGTACAATGTACATCTACTCATGTTCTTGGTTCTTTCGGTAAAGTCACGTAGAAGGGAAATAATAAAATAAAAATAAAACATTAAAATCATTCTCACTGCTTTTTGTTTATGTTCACGGATGCGGTACGAGACAGTCATTTTTAACAACACAGTCATTCTTGGAAAAGAAGATGAATCCCTGATTTAAATCGAAATATAATGTACATCTCGTGCAGTGCTCTTATGAACGATGCACTTGACTTAATTGTGCGAGAAATGTTGTTCGTAGCTCAAGCAGCGACCAGTGAACAGCATCAACCTTCGCAGAGCGCGCTGCTGCTTGATGGGCGAAAGGCAAGACAACACACTTGTCACATTGAAACATGTCCACACACACGCGTGTCGTTATTTCAGATTAACAACACAGTCATTCTGGGGAAATACTAATTTATCTTCTTGGTTCTTTCGGTAAAGTCACGTAGAAGGGAAATAATAAAATAGTAAAAATAAAACATTTAATAATTCTCACGACGTTTCGGCCACAACGCAAGCAGCCGTCCTCAGGTGAAGAACAGGTCTGTCGGAAAGACAGAGTCTGAATGAACACCACCAAGCTTGGCAGCGTATATTTAAGCTGCTGGGTTGGAGGGGGAAGGGCGCCTTGACAAAGGAATCTGCATATCAACAGAGGAATTTAGCTTAAATCAACAGAGGAATTTAGCTTAAATCAACAGAGGAATTTAGCTTAAATCAACAGAGGAATTCAGCTTAAATATACGCTGCCAATCTTGGTGGTGTTCATTCAGACGCTGTCTTTCCGACAGACCTGTTCTTCACCTGAGGACGGCTGCTTGCGTTGTGGCCGAAACGTCGTGAGAATTGTATTTTATTATGTTTTATTTTTATTATTTTATTATTTCCCTTCTACGCGACTTTACCGAAAGAACCAAGAAGATGAATCCCTGCAGTCACGAAAGAAGCTTTAAATCGAAATTTAATTTAAAAATAATAGGCACATGTCTAAAATGTGCCACCTCTGTCTACTCTGCAGTATGTATTGGTACAGCACAGTGACATGGCAGGCTGCATGAGGTGGGGTAAAGTGTGGGTACTGCCGTCTCTTCCAAGACGTCTGGGCGGAGTGGAAGAGTCAGCCTCTACTGAGGTTCTAGATTAGAAGCTTTCGTGACTGCAAGGATTCATACTCTTGGTTCTTTCGGTAAAGTCACGTGGGTAAAAAATGAAATTAAAATTAATAAAAATAAAACAATATTTTTATTAATTTTAAAGTCACGTCGGTAAAAATGAAATTAAAATTAATAAAAATAAAACAATATTTTTATTAATTTTAAAGTCATGTAGGTAAAAAATGAAATTAAAATTAATAAAAATAAAACAATATTTTTATTAATTTTCAAGTCATGTAGGTAAAAATGAAATTAAAATTAATAAAAATAAAACAATATTTTTTATTAATTTTAAAGTCATGTAGGTAAAAAATGAAATTAAAATTAATAAAATAAAACAATTTTTATTAATTTTCAAGTCAAGTAGGAAAACAATGAAATTAAAATTCAGTTTAACACGTAGCAGGCTTTCGCGACCAATGTTATCATAATCAACGTTTTTGGGTTTAGATCGCCGCGTTATTTATAAATGTGTCGTAACCCTCCACCACCCGACACGGCCAATCAGTAAAAATGTGTCACGTTGACAAAGACAAATAGTTACCTGCTTTAGCCCACCGGTGTGTTGAAGCCACAACATTTACAATTTGAGTACGACGTTTCGCTGGTAATTGCAACCAGCATCATCGGGCAATTCGCCAGAATGGTGAGGAGGCTCTGCTGTCTCCCGTTCTTATATAATGTTTTTATTAATTTTAAAGTCACGTAGGTTAAAAATGAAATTAAAATTAATAAAAATAAAATAATATTTTTATTAATTTTAAAGTCACGTAGGTAACAATTGAAATTAAAATTTATAAAAATAAAACAATATTTTTATTAATTTTAATGAAATAAAAATTAATAAAAATAAAACAATCTTTTATAAATTTTAAAGTCAGGTAGGTAAAAAATGAAATTAAATTTAATAAAAATAAAACAATATTTTTATAAATTTTAAAGTCAGGTAGGTAAACAATGAAATTAAAATTAATAAAAATAAAACAATCTTTTTATTAATTTTAAAGGCACGTAGGTAAAACAATGAAATTAAAATTAATAAAAAATAAAACAATCTTTTTATTAATTTTAAAGGCACGTAGGTAAAATTTTTTTTTTTTTATTAATTTTAAAGTCATGTAGGTAAAAAAATGAAAGTAAAATTAATAAAAATACAAAATATTTGTATTAATTTTAAAGTCACGTAGGTAGAAAATGAAATTAAAATTAATAAAATAAAACATATTTTTATTTATTTTAAGTCACGTCGGTAAAAAATGAAATAAAAATTAATAAAAATAAAACAATTTTTATTTATTTTAATTTAATTTTTTATTAATAAAAATAAAACAATATTTTTATTAATTTTAAAGTCATGTTTTACCTACTTGGTGACTTTACCGAAAGAACTACGAGTATCTTCTGAGGTTGTCTCGAGCTCCCTCTAGTGGAGGTCCTTCTGCCAGCAGTGGCACGAGCAAGGAGTTGCAGATCTGCACCTTTGCCTCTTTATGTTCACAGCACTTGGCTGGTGGTTGTGGTGGTGGTGGTTGTGGTGGTGGTGGTGGTGGTGGTTGTGGTGGTGGTGGTGGTGGTTGTGGTTGTGGTGGTGTTGGTGGTGGTGGTTGTGGTGGTGTTGGTGGTTGTGGTGGTGGTGGTGGTGTTGGTGGTTGTGGTGGTGGTGGTTGTGGTGGTTGTGGTGGTGGTGGTTGTGGTGTTGGTGGTTGTGGTGGTGGTGGTTGTGGTGGTGGTTGTGGTGGTGTGGTGGTTGTGGTGGTGGTGGTGGTTGTGTGGTGGTGGTGGTGGTTGTGGGGTGGTGGTTGTGGTGGTTGTGGTGGTGGTGTGTGGTGGTGGTGGTGGTGGGTGGTGGTTGTGATGGTGGTGGTGGTGGTGGTTGTGGTGGTTGTGGTGGTGGTGGTTGGTGGTGGTGGTGATTGAGGTGGGTGGTGGTGGTGGTGGTTGTGGTGGTGGTGGTTGTGGTGGTTGTGGTGTGGTGGTGGTGGTGGTGTGGTGGTGGTTGTGGTGGTGGTGGTTGTGGTGGTGGTGGTTGTGGTGGTGGTTGTGGTGGTGGTGGTGTGGTGGTTTGGTGGTGGTTGTGGTGGTGGTGTTGTGGTGGGGTGGTGGTTGTGGTGGTTGTGGTGGTGGTGGTGGTTGTGGTGGTTGTGGGGTGGTGGTGGTGGTGGTGTGGTGGTTGTGGTGGTTGTGTTGTGGTGGTGGTGGTGGTTGTGGTGGTGGTTGTGGTGGTGGTGGTTGTGGTGGTGGTGGTTGTGGTGGTGGTTGTGGTGGTGGTGGTTGTGGTGGTTGTGGTGGTGGTTGTGGTGGTGGTGGTGTGTGGTGGTGGTGGTGGTTGTGGTGGTGTGGTGGTGGTTGTGGTGGTTGTGGTGGTGGTTGTGGTGGTTGTGGTGGTGGTGGTGGTGTTGGTTGTGGTGGTGTTGGTGGTTGTGGTGGTTGTGGTGGTGGTTGTAGTGGTTATGTTGGTGGTTGTGGTGGTGGTTGTGGTGGTGGTGGTTTGGGGGTGGTTGGGTGGTGGTGGTGGTGGTGGGGTTGTGGTGGTGGTGGTGTTGGTGGTTGGGTGGTGGTGGTGGTGGTGGTTGTGGTGGTGGTGGTGGTGGTTGTGGTGGTGGTGGTTGTGGTGGTGGTTGTGGTGGTTGTTGGAAAGTGAATCAAAAACTAGGTTTGTGCTACATACATATGACTTGGTCGAATTTTCGGTTGAAGCGGAGTAATAGTCGGTGTAACACGTAGCAGGCTTTCGCGACCAACTATATTCACGATCAAGGTGTTTTGTGTTAGATCGCGTGAGTATGAATGTGTAACCTGTTGCGCATGAACTCTCCAACACACCGGTGGGCTGAAGTAACGAATTAACTGACGCGTTTTGTTTACGTGACAAACCTTCCTGGTGGTGGAGGGTTACGGCACTCGATACTTAAGCGAGCTACCCCAGAAACCTTTGTCACGAATAATCAGTCATCGGCGGCAGAAAATCTTGCTTTGTTCACGATACTACGGACTTGGAGAGCTGTTGACACACGCTCCTTGTGTCACGCGTCGTGTTTTGTTTTCTTTCAAAGATTCAAGATCACCTGACGGAAATGTTCAACTCTATGCACTGTCAATTGTTCAAGTTGAACATTTGTAACGTCAGAGTTGACTGTGAGGTCGACAAAAAGGAGACTACGATGAGAGTTGCCCAGGAGACAATCGACGCTTTGCAGACCTCAACTCGAGAGAAACAGGTGGGTGCCAGCGGCAGCGCTGCTCATTGACGCGTTTCTATTTCACTCACTCTGTCCGTTGTTGTCGTGTCCTCAAATCTTGCAAACTCAATTTTAACCAACTTATAGTAATAGGTTGTTACCCTTTCGACTGGTATCAAAAACTGACACCTTTATACAAGGGACCATGTTTGCAATAACCACAACACAAGCAGTCAAAATGCAAACAGAAATAAACAACTCTGATGATGATAATGATATGCACTGTCCTTGAAGTTGATTGGTCCACACCCGAGACAGCTTTCCTTAGAGCCTAGTCTCCATTGGTGTTGGACCAGATGACGCCACAAGGCGTACAACTCAAAGACAGCGCACTATCAGAGTATTGAGAGCTCGGGGTGAAGCATTTACATTATGAGACACCTCCTTTACCAGTGGCAAAATATAGTGATAGGTTTACCCTTTCGACTGGTACAAAAACTGACACCTTTATACAAGGCATCATGTTTGCAATAACCACAACACAAACAGTCAACATGCAAACATAAAATAAACAACTCTGATACGCCTTTTGGCGTCATCTGGTCCAACACCAGTGGAGACTAGGGTCTAAGAAAAGCTGTCTCGGGTGTGGACCAATCAACTTCAAGGACAGTGCATATCATCAGAGTTATGTTTTTTGTTTGCATTATACTGCAGGTATTGTGGTCTATGCAAACATGACTCCTTGTAGAAAAGGTGTCAGTTTTGTTGCCAGATAGAAGGGTAAAAAATCAATTATATTTTTACTGGCAAATGAGGTTCCAATGGTGTAAATGCTTCACCCCGAGCTCTCAAACTCTGATGGTGCATTGTCTTTGAGTTGTACGCCTTTTGGCGTCATCTGGTCCAACACCATGTGAGACTAGGCTCTAAGGAAAGCTGTCTCGGGTGTGGACCAATCAACTTCAAGGACAGTGCATACATATCATCATCAGAGTTGTTTCTTTTACTGGTAGGAACGAAGTGAACCAGCCTACAATAGATTATATCGTCCGTCCATCTGTCCGTCTGATGTTCGATTAGGTGTAGCAACATCGCCCCCTACTGCAAACACTTGGCAGGACCCTACAAAAACCTTTAGCAGTGAGGCTTTCCTGGCTAAACAAGTGTAACAATACATTATGTTTATATTCTTTGGTTATTCGTTCCTACCAGCCCACCCCGCAGGGTCCTGTTTTGTTTGCATTTTGACTGCTTGTGTTGCGGTTATTGCAAACATGATGCCTTGTATAAAGGTGTCAGTTTTTGTACCAGTTGAAAGGGTAAAAACCTATCACTATATTTGCCACTGGTAAAGAAGATGTCTCATAGTGTAAATGCTTCACCCCGAGCTCTCAATTCTCTGATGGTGCGCTGTTTTGAATTGTGCGCCTTGTGGCATCATCTGGTCCAACACCAATGGAGACTAGGCTCTAAGGAAAGCTGTCTCGGGTGTGGACCAATCAACTTCAAGGACAGTGCATATCATTATCATCATCAGCGTTGTTTCTTTTTGTTTGCATTTTGACTGCTTGTGTTGCGGTTATTGCAAACATGATGCCTTGTATAAAGGTGTCAGTTTTTGTACCAGTTGAAAGGGTAAAAACCTATACTATATGTTGCCACTGGTAAAGAAGATGTCTCATAGTTTAACCAACTTCCCAATGTCGTATCCACTGCAGACTTGGTATACGTGTGTCGTACTGATGACAATACTATATCAAAAAAAAAAAAAATATTTTTAAACAATCTTTTTACACGCTGTGTTTCGGCTTGGGTCTAATTGTCCGCTGCTCAACTCACGGGGCTGTGAATCACTTCCTGGAGTCGTGGAGTTCTCCCATTACTCGTACCGTACATTTCATTAAAGCGCGTTTTTAAAAAAGTATTTTAAACACGTTCCTTCAGAGTGGGCAGGTAGGAACCTGGTTGGACAGCGCATTCGTGCACGACAGACAAATATGCACGACAGACAGACAAATAATCCCTGGTGGGCAGCAGTGTGGAACCTGTTGTTGCTACCTGTATGAGTGTAGTGTGTCGTGCCGTGTATAGTGTAGTGAGTAGGTTAAACGTTGAGTTTTATAAGGACACCACGGGGTGACCAGCCCCTCCCACCCCTCCCACCCCCCACCCAGCCCCTCCCCACCCAGCCCCACCCCTCCCACCCACCCAGCCCCTCCCTCCCTCCCCTCCCCACCTCCCCTCCCCACCCTCCCCTCTCCCACCCAGCCCCACCCCTCCCACCCCCACCAGCCCCTCCCCTCCCTCCCCTCCCCACCCTCCCCTCCCCACCCTCCCCTCTCCACCCAGCCCACCCCTCCCACCCCCCAGCCAGCCCCTCCCCTCCCCCCCAAAAAAATAAAATAAAAACTAAAACATAATAAAATAATTCTCACGACGTTTCGGCCACAACGCAAGCAGCCGTCTTCAGGTGAAGAACAGGTCTGTCGTTCAGACGCTGTCTTTCCGACAGGTCTGTGTCACCTCAGCGAAGTGTGTGTTTGTTGTTTCCTTGCAGCTTGAAAAGGAACAACTCGCCGTTCAACTCAAAGACGCGACTAACAGCACACAAGAATTAACGGCGGAGTAAGAACGTTTTTATTTTCCTTGAATTGTATCTTTGTCTTCTGTTTAGGTTCCTCGACTGACGTCGGTGCAACACACAATTGCGTTCGCGAAGGGAGCGCGAGGTCGCACGTCACAATCTACCATTGCATCGAGTGTTAACACAATCACAAAAAGTGTTGTGTCTAAAAAAACAAACTGGTGTAGCAATAGGGGTTTCCACTTTCTGGCAACAAAACTGAAATCTTTTTACGACGATTCATGTCACTGCATTAACCACAATACTTGCGGTCAAAATGCAAACAAAAAACACGCCGTGATAATATTATGCATTGTCCTTGAAACTGATTGGTCCACCCCTGAGACAGCTTTCTTTAGAGCCTAGTCTCAATTGGTGCTAGAACAGATGACGCCAAAAGGCGTACAGCTCAAAGACATTTCGATTTAAAGCTTCTTTCGTGACTGCAGGGATTCATCTTCTTGGTTCTTTCGGTAAAGTCACGTAGAAGGGAAGTAATAAAATAATAAAAATTACACATGAGAAATTATTATAATAATATAATGAAATAATGTGATGTAATAAAATAATATGAAAAAATTTTATAATAATAATATAATAAAATAATATAATAAAATAATTTAATAATATTGTTTTTTTTCGATTTAAAGCTTTCGTGACTGCAGGGATTCATCTTCTTGGTTCTTTCGGTAAAGTCGTCACGTAGAAGGGAAGTAATAAAATAATAAAACATAATATAAGGCGCTCTTCCCCCCTCCGACCCAGCTTAAATATACGCTGCCAAGCCTGGTGGTGTTTCATTCAGACGCTGTCTTTCCGACAGACCTGTTCTTCACCTGAGGACGGCTGCTTGCGTTGTGGCCCAAACGTCGTTAGAATTATTCTATTATGTTTTATTTTAATGTTTTATTTTAATGAAATAATAAAAATGAAACATAATAAAATATTATGTTTTATTTGTATTATTGTATTACTTCCCTTATTACTTAAAATAATAAAAATAAAACATAATAGAATTATTATGTTTTATTTTTATTATTTCATTACTTCCCTTATTACTTAAAATAATAAAAATAATAAAATATTATTATGTTTTTATTATTTCATTACTTCCCTTATTACTTAAAATAATAAAAATAATAAATAATATTTTATTATGTTTTATTTTTATTATTTTATTACTTCCCTTATACTTAAAATAATAAAAATAAAAATATTTTATTATGTTTTATTTTTATTATTTTATTACTTCCCTTCTACGTGACTTTACCGAAAGAACCAAGAAGCTCAAAGACGAAGCCGCTATCAAAGTAACGAGGGCTCGGGGTGAGCATCTACATCATTAGACCTCCTTTGCCAGTACCAAAATATTATAATAATAATAGGGTTATTCCCTATTATCATTATTATATTTTGGTACTGGCAAATGATGGAAAAAAAACTGGTGGCGTATTTTACTTGGGATGTTGGCTATCAACAACAAGGCAACTCCTACGACTAATTGGGAATGGGACGCAAGCGTAGGATTGATCGCCCTGTCGCTGGCCGCCTTTGGGGAGGGTGTATCGTGCGAAAGGCCGAAACACCCTAGGAACCAAAGGTTCACTACTGATGATCCGCTCCCCAAATGTCACCAGGCTCGCGCTGTTCGTGAACTCTTGGAAGTGCTTGCACAAAGGATAGTAACATCTCATCCTGTGTTCTTGGGAATCTGGTGCGACTATCAAATCACCACGTACGCACGTACGCCAGTTATGCAAGCGATACGTTTAGTCTGAAGCAACGCGTACGGTGGATATTTGTCTACGGAGGATTTCTGACCTCCGTCCTTGCAATGTGCCTGTGTCCGTAAGAATCACCGCCACCAGGGAAATGTGCGACGGTCTGCAGGTCCAATTCTCTTCGGCGCAACAAACACTAACGAAAGGTACGTTCTCAACATCTGCCGACCGTTGAACGTTAACGGTGTACCGTTGAGCGATCGAACTTTTTTGCCGTTGACTTATTCGGGCCATGTCCGCGTGCTGATGTTTGACAGCTGAAGCAGATAAGGAAGAAATGAAAGAATTCCGTTTGTCAGTGAAAGCAGAAGTGAAGGTAAATGTATAATAAGATTTTAAAAATTTTGTTTTCATTTAATTATATTTATTGAAAAGCGTATAATAGTATACACGTATACACATGCATATTTAATATTAATGCTTTAAATCCTGGTGTCATCTTCTTTTAAAGACATTTGCAGTGACTTTGAGTGATTTAAATTCAAAGTTTCAAAATGACAAGAACATCGCGTTGGCCAAAGGTAAGCCTTGTTGCAGGATGACACGATGCAGAGCTCGCTAATAATCAGGTCGTGTTCAATACATAGAGCACAGCAATCATCGACTTGTTCTTGGTTCTTTCGGTAAAGTCACGTAGAAGGGAAATAATAAAATGACAGCTGTCTTCCCAACAGACCTGTTCTTCACCTGAGGACGGCTGCTTGCGTTGTGGCCGTAACGTCGTGAGAATTATTGTATTGTGTTTTATTTGTATTATTTTATTATTTCCCTTCTACGTGACTTTACCGAAAGAACCAAGAAGATGAATCCCTGACAGTCACGAAAGCTTTACATCGAAATTTTAAGCCACAACCGTCGTTGATAATCATCGGCAGTGCTCTATCCACTGCTAGATGAAGCCGTCATCCCTCGAGGCCTTGAGAAGCAACACA